CATCAGGGGCACCGGAAAATATGTGGCAGCAATATTCAAAGTATGGATGAATGGTAGATTTATAAATATGTAAGATAGATTCTGGAATAAAAAATTGTCTCGCACGACACAGTCAACCAACTTTTTTACCAGCTGGCCTAGCAATGGGTTCAATATAATCTTTCCACTTCATGTCAGCCAAGAATATGTCCGAGAAGGCGCAATAAGTCACCCTCATGGAGATTAGTCTCGGCCATGTTGATTGAAGGCGGAAAGGGATTTTTCAGGTGATTAATAGAGAAAAGCTTCGTTTTGGAGGAGTTAAAACAAGTTATTCCCTGTAAACAAACATCTAAGTTCCGATGAGACTAAAATACCAGGGATCGAGTTTACACTGTTCGGTATAATGAATAGGATCCCTGCTTTCTAAAAGGATAAACAAATCAATATTTTTCGATTCTGAGAAGTGACTTTCTCGAGACAGATTTTACCTGTTGGGGTACAGATTAGGATTTATTTCATAATTTTTTTTCTTGAATATTTCAGTTGCACGGATATTTTTCTGGGGATTTACATCACGTAGGTTTGCTTAATGAAACTTTTGTTTTTAAATAATGAATGTTTCCCAGGAGAATTATGCAAAAAGAGATGTATTTTTTGAGGATTTAAATAAGTGAAAATATATTTAGTAAATATTAAATAAAACTTCTTAATAAGGATTTATTTTTATGAATATTTACTTCAGGTGAACATGTTCACTAGGATTTACATCATATTCTTTGGTAAATTTGTTTTCTGTACACTCAGTGATGATTTCTTTAGCACAGTTTTGGCCACACAGAAGAAGCTTTGCCGCGCACCACTTCCTGCTTCACAAAGGCTGCCAATTTAAAGAAGACAGAGGTATTCTATCAGTCTGCGTTTGGAGATGAGTATCGCCCACCCCACATCATCATTGGCGCGACTGAGCTGAAGGCGGTCCATCGCTTTACCTACCTTGGATGTGCTATCACGTCAGATGCTGGGATCGACAAGGAGGTCGACAACAGACTGGCAAGAACGTGAATTGCATTTGGTAAACTGTACAAACGTTTGTGGTACAACAGACAACTGAAGAAGGGGACTAAGATCAGGGTGTATAGAGCTATCGTCCTCGCTACTCTCCTATACGGCTTAGAGTCATGTGTCCCTTACCGACACCAACTGCGACTCCTCGAATAGTTCAACCAGCGCTGCGTCCGTACAATCATTAACATCCACTGGAGTGACTTTTTCACCAATATTGAATTCCTTAAAAAAGGGGAAGACCACCAGCATTGAGGCCATGGGTTGGACACGCTTCCAGGATGGAAAGTCATCCCCTGTCTAAAATTTTATTGTACAGCGAGCTCTCTACTGTCTATCGTGACAGACGGGTACCAAAGAAGCGATTCAAAGATTGCCTGAAAGAATCCCTTGGTGCCTGTCACATCAACCATTGCCAATGATCAACCCTAGCTGAGAACCGTGACGCCTGGAGTCTCACCATCAACCATGCTGTCTCTTTCTTTGAAAATACCTGCAGGGCCGCTCTCAAAGACAAAAGGCAGAAGGAGATGTACGGCAACGCCATGCCATCGAGCCCAGGCCAAACTTTCAGCTGCAACTGCTGCGACCGTGTATGCCTGTCCGCATTGGAATTATCTGTCAGAAGTGTGCCTGCAAGCGACATGTACAGACTCCCTCTTGATCTTCGTTTTGCAAAGCCAAGCCATGATGATGATGATATTTATATTATACTAGCAGGGGGATGTAACAATAAGGGATAGATCAAGTATCGACCATCATAAAGACTAAAAAATAAAATTGACAAAGATTATTGTTTAAGGTTGACGGACATGCATGTCTTAATTAGTATTTTTTTTTTACGAATTAGTCAAACCCAAACTCAAACAAAAACATTGTTTTCAATCGTTATATGAGTCTATCGATTGAATAGAATTTTATTATAAACAATTGTCTTGTAAATGGAATTTTTAAAGCATTCTGAATGTAAAAATAAAGAAAAAAGTGTGCAAGACAATAAGAAACACTACCTGCCAAAAAAAAAGTGAAGTTTTGTTGAAATCGGTTGAAAAATGTAGGAAATCCGATCCCATATATCACACACAACACAAACAACCTGGGTTTTATAAAAAGTATAACTCGATATGAATTGTCCCATTTCATTCTGGCGAGAGAATCGTGTTTTATCGTGTTTTCAAATTGATTTCGTGCAAAAACAATTGTGTTTTTTTCTATTTTTGGCGCTGTCAGAACCACCGCAAGGTAATTTTACGCAGTCCTGTGATGTTTTGTTGAAATCAGTTGAAAAATGTAGTAAATCCGATCCAATATATAAATGTACAGACACACACACATACACATAATCTGCGTTTTATAATAAGTAAGATTATGTTTATAGAATATTATATTTATATTATGTTTATATAATAAAAATTAATAATCAATAATTTCCACTTTCGTTTATTACCTTTATTTTTAAAAAAATAAAGTACAATTGCAATTATTCGATTCTGCGTTCACCATTATTGGCGATGACTTACTGCCATAATTAGCCAGTTCTTCGATACTCTTCGAGTAAAATTCCTCAGTTTTTGACGTGTAAGAGTGTCCAACAAGCACTTGAATCTTGTTTGCATTTGAGAAATATTTCCGCTTGAAAGCATTTTGCTGAGGTGGAAAAGGATAATTAAGTTGGTGCAAGGTCACGTGAATAATGGCGATCGGGTAGAACAGACCTAACGACTTTTTTTTTTTTTTTACTTTTGTTTATTTTACTCTGTACATAGACGGGGAAGATAACGATTAACTGTAGACTTGAACAGGTTAAGATTATAGTGATCTGGGAAAGATTCTATTATTTGCAATGACTCGTTGTCGCTTATCAGGCTGCTTTTTGATAACTTTTGGTTAAAATATCGCAGGTTTTGATGCGAATATGCTGTTGAAGAACTGCTGAATCTGGTTTTCACTAAAGAAACATTTCCCCTATCTCAACGTTTTGCAGCGACAGAAAAGGTAATAATAGTTTGGTGCAAAGTCAGGTGAATAATGGCGTGTCGATTAGAACAGACCAACCGAGTTCCAATTCTTTTTCCTATGTTCTCCTTAATTTATGTTGCATTGTGAGGGAGAACAATATTTTTCCTTTAATCCGCTGTGTATGCTGCCAATGCCGTCCAAAAACAAAGGTATTTTAGTGTACCGTATATACTTGAGTATAGTGCGGGTTTTTATGATCAGTTTTTGACGTAAAAAATAGGGGAGCGTACTATATACACGGGTCATTTCTTTTTAATATGTTAAATCATGTATTTTCTGTGTCCGGATGCACTATACACGGGTATTTTTCTGGAGTGGCTTACAACAAGACTTGTGAAAATTACAGGTTTTCTAATTTCCAACAAAATTTTTAATATATATATATATATATATATATATATATATATATATATATATATATATATATATATATTCTTTCTATACAAACATAAAGAATTTAAAATACGTCTTTATTAATAGAAAGATTATTATATTATATGGTAATTTTAAAAATTTGAGTAAAAAATAAATAACACAGAAGAAATATTTATTAAAATATGCTTTTAAAAATTATTATACAAATTAAATATTACCAATTCTGTGGTAAACACCATTTGTTAAGAGTGTATATAAAACTAGGTGCCACGCGAAAAACGCGATGCTTAAGGCTTAAGATGATACTTACCTGTCGCAGGGCTCAATCCCTGTGCTGATGGTATCACGGCTACAACTAGCTTGGACCGGCTCTGACCAGCTATGACTAGCTTAGACCAGCTCTGACAAGCTTGGACAAGCTATGACCAGCTAAGACCAACTTGGACAAGCGGCCCGAGTGAAAACACTCGGGTTCCCACATTAAAAACTGATCTTGTGTCACAACCTGACTCAGTGGGGGGTCAATTAAATCTCACCTGGCACCATCCCTGTGCTGGTGGTATCACGGCTACAATTATCTTGGACCGGCTCTAACCAGCGATGACAAGCCAAAAACAGCTATGATTAACTTAGACCAGCTTGGACAAGCTATGACCAGCTAAGACCAGCTTGGACCAAGTGCCCGAGTGAAATCACTTGGGTCCCCACGTTAAAAACTGACCTAGTGTCACAAGCTGATTTAGTGGAGAAGAGGGGGAAGTAAATCTCTACATAAGGTTTAAGATGATTTTTAAAAATGAAAAATCTTTCTTGAAGCTTTTATTTTAGTTTTAATTTCGAGCTAATAGATTAAATTTATTATTTCCAAAAAGCAAAATGCTTTTCTGTATTCCAAAACTAATTTAAATTGACAAGAAACAGTTATTTTTCTAAGATAACTGTTGTGAAGTTAGAGGTTAGCACTAATCAGCCGCTACAACTGGTTCGACTGCTTCGTTATTCTCAGTGACCACTTATATGAGTGTTCACTCGTGCTTATGCAAATTATGGATACTAATTTGCTAGTATCACTTCAGTAACTGATAAGCGCGCTTTTTTTTAGCCGTCTTTACCGCAATGTAATTCTTTTTGCATACCTATATAAAAAGCTGGTAAACATTCCTTACATGTTAACACTGTTTTTGTTTCGGTCACATCCAAGCTGTGCTTAGAAAACAACTTGACCACTTCGATATGGTGTCATGGTTAGCAAGCTTGTCTCGTTAGATCAATTACGGCTGCGTAGTGAGTTTGATCCTACGCGTAGAGAATCATTTTATACTTCCCTGGCACTTTCGAAAGGGAGAGTATCAAAATAATATTGAACTCCAGCTCTATATTTTTTTAAGAAAATAACAATTTTCAGATACATATTACTAATTAACCTATAGCTGGAGGAGAAGAGGTTGATTCTTACTTTTCCCAATGGTTTTTGCGCGTAAGTGAATATAATGATCCAACTGGAATTGGATCTCGGCTCTCCGATTAAAAATTATCCATTACACCACCCGCACATCGACATTTACAACATCTGGTACTTCCAAGCAGTCACTCATCTAGGTACTGACCAGGCTCAACGTTGCTTAATTTCGGTGATTGTACGGGGACCACTGTTTCAACGTGATCTGACCGTTAACCTATCCTTATTCGAGTCGCGTGGACTGGCGCTATAGAGTCACTAAGGACTGTGTCAAATACTAGAAGCCACTTTATAGACCCAGTGAGACTTAGATTAGAAGACGGTGCCTTAAAAATCGGGCTTCGAAATCCAAGCTTTTGACTGGGCTCGAACATCGACATCTGACACTCGTGAGAAATATACAGTTATCACCTAAACGAGCCAAGCTTTCTACAACGCTGATCAATTCGTCAAATTTATGATGGGGATATTTTAAATTTATGTCACGTGTTAAAAATGTTTTTAGTAATAACACAAATAAACTTCTGACTTTCTTTTACAATACATTTTACAAACATATCGTCTTTTTGCTTAAACTAGCAAATGGTCAAATTTTATGACCTTAAAATATGCAGTTTTTCGTGTTGGAATGGGGTTTTATGTTTCTAAATAACTGGCAATCTAATAGTTACTGTTGGGAGACTACAAAAGTGTCCCCAACCTAAACTGTAAAATTCTGCCTGCTCTGATTTATTTACAAGTAACCCTACCTCCTGTCTATTGTCGAAAGAAAAATATTTTTTCATGTTATGCACCATGCAACCTTTAAGGCCGTGCGTCCGTCCGTTCAATTCAGCAGTGTCTGGATGAAATGAGTTGAGGATTCCATTTTCCTATTTTCACGATTTGAATACAGTTTGCGAAGCAAATCCACATGGATCCTCCCCCTCTAAATAAAAAAATATTCTGACTAAACACATCTTTATAAAAACTAAATTTTGTATAAAAGCCCCCACTTTATATCAGTAGAACAAAGGATTTTTCAGTATGCCCACGTCGCTACCGAATGTGACACAGTTTCGAAGGTTAAAGTGGGCTTGACGACTATACCGTAGAAATACCCCTTCCACTTTGTAGGATGCCTCAGTACTGCGCAATAAACTCAGCTCCCTCCAGAAGGGGAGATACTGTCTGAGGTGAATGCCCCCTGGGTCTTGGGCTTAATATTTTTTGGAACGTTACCTGGCCTAATCGGCACTTCCACTTTGGGTGATGAATCAGGCCCCGGGTAATGGCTCAAGCCCCACTCCGAAGGAAAGTTACTTCTTGGAGGAAGGCCATCTCGGCAATTTCCCTTTGGGGGATACATCAGGCCCCGGGTAATGGCTCAAGCCCCCCTCCGAAGGAAAGTTACTTCTTGGAGGAAGGCCATCTCGGCAAATTCCCTTTGGGGGATACATCAGGCCCCGGGTAATGGCGCAAGCCCCCCTCCGAAGGAGAGTTACTGCTTGGAGGAAGGCCATCTCGGCAATTTCCCTTCGGGGAATGCATCAGGCCCCGGGTAATGGCCCAAGCCCCCTTCCGAAGGAGAGTTATTGCTTGGAGGAAGGCCTTCTCGGCAATTTCCCTTTGGGGAATGCATCAGGCAATGACGCAACCCCACTCCCGAAAGAGACGTTCTACCTGGGATTTGAGCTAATATTAATTTCAAGCTACCCCAGCTGATGCCAATAAAGTAAAATGATTTACTAAGCGAAGCTTAGATGTGGAACAAGGCCGCAAGTATGGAGCACCAGTGAGAATTTAATTCACTACCCAGTCGTAAACTTCAGTTCAATATTATTGTGATTTTCCAAGCGTAGCTCAGATGTGGCACGAGGCTGAAAGTATGGGGTACCCCGTGAGGATCGAACTCACTACTCGATTGCAATTGTTCTAGCTAGACAAGCTTGCTAACCATTACACCACCTCGAGGTGCCCCAGTTCAATATTATTCGTCGAAAGCTCTCTTATGTTGTGCTAATCCCGCGAAAGTTCTTCAGATTTTTTTGGTTTTTTTTATTACGGGGAATGATATAATTCCACTGATAGTTCTTTTAATATTCTTGTTCAGTGGGTATACTGTGGTTGTTCGTCTAATGTCTATGGATGTCATTCTCCCATTTGTTATCGATGACAAGAACATTTCCATAATATTTACCATTTCCAAAGCTATTAAAGTCCTACTTTGAATTTGATTTCTTGGAGACAACATACATTAATGTTAGAACTATCAACGCCCCGAGCCGATAATTGCAGCTTTTCGTTTTTCACAAGTCCTTTAACATTAAATGTCCCGACGGTAAAATCTTTGTATGCAGTTGGAGGCATTTATAGTTTTAAATAAGAGGTTGCCATCTTTTAACTGTTGACAGCCAGAGAGGTCATTAACTTTTCCAACAAAAAATATATTTCTTAGGGGACATTTTCATTGTTATTCTTTTTTTTCCTGGTTTATTTTTCATCTTGTTTTGTGAGATGCTTGTATTTCGGAGACCCAATATTTTTCAGTTGTTTGAATTGGTCGAGATAAACTATTGCCATTATTATTCCTTTTCGTCTGGTTTATCTCACTCGATACACTTCTTGTTTGTTTATAACTTGTAGCAAAAGGCATAATAATCTTAAATTTTCTGAATTTCTGAGCTGAATCATCATTATCATCATCTCAAGTGGAACACACAATCCATGGCTAAAAATGCCAGAAAAAATAGTCGGTATCTTGTACAGGTCAAATAACTAACTGCCTTCATCTGCCATGATCTTGCCCTGTGTATGACGATAAACTACATCCGGCAGCAAGGCCTCTGGTCGAGAGGTTTTGAGGAACGTGGAACTACCTCTTAATTGCTGTTGTTCCAGGCCCACCCTGACCTGGGGTAGTAGCACCTGGTATGAGCAAATAGTTTATCTCCAATCTGGCGTCAACATATTTTGAAAGTATAGAAATAGTTTTTTATAGTATATATATATATATATATATATATATATATATATATATATATATATATATATATATATGAAAAAAAATTACCCTCAGTTCATTTTTAAAAAAAAAAAAAAAAATTACTAGAAACATATTTTTGAGAAAAAATTACTAATATTCCCAATAAAATTAAATTTCGGCATTAAATAACCCATTGAGGTGTTGATATGCCGTAAAACAAAATAAACCCAAACCTAAACCCTGCTATGTCCTTTCGTTAAAAAAAACCGATCAGACCAAATATGGAGTCTTCTTCTTTTATGTGCCGTGTTCCTTCAGGACGTAGGCGATTATGGCCCTCCACCTCTTCCTGTTTCTTTGTAGCTCTCAATAGGTTTTGTCATTTTGATATTTCTCCTAGACCTTGTTCTGCCATCCACTTGATTAACTCCGATAAGTATGTTTACGCGTTGCTTTCCCTTGCCCAGCTTTCCCTCTCTCTGCCCTGTCATATTCGTCCCAGAAATTTCAGCTGCCTCTTCCAGATCTTATGCATAAATGTCCTCTTTGTTTACACCTTCTCCAAAATCTCATTGTGGTTCACATGTTCGGTCCATGGTATCTCCAGCATCCTTCTGTAGAACTATACCTCTGTTGCCTTGAGTCTATTTTTGAGGAGACCGTCCAACATTTGCTGTTGTAAAGAAGGTCAGATATCGCGTTCAGTACTCTTTTCTTTGTTACCAACTAAACCCTCCTTTCTCGTAATACTCTGCCTAGCTTTTGGAATACATCTTTGGTCGTCCCAATACGTTTTCGGATGTTAGCGTCGCATTTTCTGCCCTCTGTCAGTACACTTCCCAGATATTTAAATCTCCTTACCTGCTTATTTTAGCATCCCGACCTGTAAATCGCATTTCGAGCTCATCTTTTTGCTGATGACCATACGTTCTGTTTTGTAATTTATGCTTAGTCACTTCTTGCTCTTCTTTGCTACCTTTCGTATCAGGTTCTTTTTAGTTTCCTTTCGTGTCTGCTATCAGCACTGTGTCATCTGCATATCTGTGTCATCTGCATATTGTTAAGATTGTGGCCGCCAATGATGTATCCTGCTAGGATTTCCAGTTCTCTCAGTATAGATTGAATAAGTCCGATGGAATACTGATACCATACCGGGTTTGGAGTTGCCCATTTTACACTTCCCAGTGCAAAAGCCTCTTCGTGACCGTGTAGGGGTTTAATTATTTTGCACCTTCCAAACTCTCTTCCCACAGATGAAACATCACAAGCCTTTCGCTGCTCTATCCCTATTCCCATGGAAAATGTTCCGATCGAGTTCCACCAGCGCGACCTTTCACAGCTAAGATCCACCATGCCACGTGCACTGGAGCGGATCATCCCCATTCCCTTCTTATTCCGTTAGCAAAAAAGGAAGTTCCATTTGGACTGCTTTTTCTCAAGAACCGCTACCCCGTAGAACCCCCTCTCGAGAGGATACTTCCCACATCACTACAATATAAACCTCCTTATCTTTCCTACATATCCTCTTAAACCGCCTTTCTTACCTCTTCCTCTATTTACCGGAAACAGCCTCAGTCAGTGACACTCTATCTTGAGGGACTCATGGGCCTTGCATTACGTGAACAGTTAGTAAAGCAAAAAGTTTCGGGTGTGGTAGTATGGTGGCTGCCCTGACCAATTCCCGCAACATATCTGGGCTGAAGGTTCGCATTGGTCATGAACATATGGCCGTTGATTTTATCTTGGAAACCCGCCTCTCTGGTCGTAGGCGTCTGTCTAGGAAACCTCTCACTCATCGATAAAGACTTAGGGACTTTCAAGAGGGTCCTCCGCAGGAACTAGACAATTGCCGCATGATAGGGCGGCTTTAAATATATATATATATATATATATATATATATATATATATATATATATATATATATATATATAACAACATAAGCGTATTACAAGGGTAATGCGCCAAGAAAAAAATTGTACTTGTGCAATTTCCGCTTTCTTGAGGCGAGTCATTCGTTGCCGAGCAGTAGAGGAAGTTGTACTTGTTATGCTTTTACTATTCAAAATTGAATGGATTCTGGATCAGCGGGCTAACATAAGGTTTTATGTAAAGATTGGCGCTGCTGAAACATTGATCTTATTGAAGGTCGAGAAAACACAAGAAATAGGTGGGCGAAAGCAAAGAATAGATCCAATTATTTGTAATTCCAAAAAGGGTTAAGGAAATCTGTTTGAAACAAAAGACCCG